TGTGTGTGTGATATAGGTGGTGACCCAGTGTGTGATATAGGTGGTGATCCAGTGTGTGATATAGATTACCCCATGTGTGATATAGGTGGTGACCCCATGTGTGATATAGGTGGTGACCCCATGTGTGATAGAGGTGGTGACCCCATGTGTGATAGAGGTGGTGACCCAGTGTGTGATATAGGTGGTGACCCAGTGTGTGATATAGGTGGTGACCCAGTGTGTGATATAGATTACCCCATGTGTGATATAGGTGGTGACCCTGTGTGTGATAGAGGTGACCCCGTGTGTGATAGAGGTGACCCTGTATGTGATAGAGGTGATGCCATGTGTGATAGAGGTTACCCGTGTATGATATAAGCCTGTTCCAATAACCCAACAAGTCTGGTTCCCCTTTCTCTTCATGTCATTCTGCCCAAGTGATGATCGTCCAGCTCAGTTGATTCAGAAGTGAGCCAAGGTTAAATGCTTCTTAACGCATACATTTAAAATGTGTTTACACAATAACCTCATCAGAAGAAAACTGAGGTCATTAAGGACGGATGAATACCTTCTAAGAGGGGCAGTTGTGTTTGGGGCTTGAATTACCTGTCATTCTTTTCACCTGTCGTGTAGACATAACCTCAAAGGTAAAAAATAAAGGAACATGCTGAAATCACTATGTTTGCTGATTTTTCTGATGATATTTTCTATTAAGTTTTTTAAATTCAGATTCAAATGCTAGAATTCAAAGAATTATTTTACGCATGGCTGAAATAAGTGAGATAAAGAAAAATCTCAAGAAACATACAAAAGTTTCTCCAGATTGTACGTATACTGATCGTACAGGTGTGGATGACCAGGTAAGAGAAAATAAAGGGGGATACATTTTAGCACGTGCTTGCGTGTGTCTATAGTGTGCTACTCAATTTATAAGGTATACGACATACTTTATCTAAATTAATCTTGAATGAATAGATGGAAGAATAAAGGTGAAGGCTACAGAAATTGAGATAATTTGTATAAGTTTGTATAGCTATTAAAAGCAGCTCAGAAATTCCCACCAAAGTAAAACTCCAATATGTATAGCCTTTTTTACCTTATGAAATTGTCTTCATGTATTGAAACTAAAACCAAAGCAGTTATCTTTGAGTTGCTTCCAACTCATGACAGCCCGATGTGTGGCAGAGGAGAACTATGCTCCGTTGGATTTTCAATGGCTTGTTTTTTGAAAGTAGATTGCCAAGCTTTTCTGAGGTACCTCTGGGTGGACTGAAATCTCCCACCTTTTGGAAAGCAGCAGAGTGCATTAATCATTTGCACTACCCAGGGACTCCATATTAAAATTATTCATATCTTATTCTTTTATGTAGGCAGAAATACAAAAATTAAATGTAAAATCTCTTTTCTGAACTACAGTCTTAACAAATTACTCCAAGAACATTAAAATCAGCTATTGTCTTTCTTCTGAAAACTCTTCATTCTCTCTTCCGTACCTCATAGTACCTCACCACCCACAAAGTGCCTAGGTCTTCAAATCAGAAACTATGGAGTCATTCTTGTCTATCCTCTTCCTCACCCTGCATCTCATTCAACAACTTAGCTCCAGAACAGTGAGGCACACCCTCAACAAAGGGTTCTCATAAATGTTTGTAGGCTGATCTAATTTAGTCTTCATGTAGTCTAAGACCTATGATTATTACTTGTACATACTTTTATCTTTACTTAAGTTATGGGCAAAAAGGAGGCAGAAAGAGAGAGAAAGAGGGAGAAAAAGAGGAGAAAGAGAAATAGAGAAGAGGCAGAAAGACAGCAACTGACAGAGAAGGAAACCAGTGACATAAACAGACAGAAGGAAATTGCGGGGGAGGGTGGGAAACAGAGTGACAGACAGACAGAAAGATACAAATGCAGAAAGACAGACAGGAAGACAAAGACAGAGAAAGGGGGGGCGGAAAACTTTGATCAGAAATGATTGGAGATAATAATGGAAAAAAACCTAGTAGATTAGGTTCAAGTCAAATGCTGAAATAGAGCAAAGTGAGTGTGTTGGGAAATCAGACTAATCAGGAGCATGGATGGTTTTTGGTATGTTGTAGGGAAAAAACATCACAAAGTTTAGTAAAGCAAAAAGAAAATTTTATTTGGTATATATTCAAAAAGGCAAAAGTGGGAAATGGACAACCATACTGCCAGAGCCATGTCTGCCCGAGTCCAAGGAAATATCACAGAACAGACAAAAGTGGGAAAACAGACAAGCATGCTGTCAAAGCCATGTCTGTCTGAGTCCAAAGAATATTACAGAATAGGCAAGAATGGGAAAATGGGCAAGCATGTTGCCACAGCCATGTCTGCCCAAATCCAAAGACCATTACAGAGTCATCAGTATATTACATTACATAACATTACAAATGTGTAAAACCGTTGAACGCTTCACCTTTTCACAGATTGGCTAGAAACTGTGATCCTACATTTTGAATTGTCTTTCTTAACAATCACTGGTACAGGTTTCAGTAACGACAGTTGGGAGGGTCTTCATTGGTCCAACTAATCTCTATTCACTAAAGGCTAATAGAAAAAGATAAGAGTGGAAAAGTCTTTTGTGTTCTGTTTGGTTGGCTTTATGTGAAAAGTTCCCTGAAAGATATTTTCAAAGATTATCCTAGCTATTGTCTTTATACCTCAGAGCCCAGTTGATGTGTCCTTGTGAGCTGTTGTGAGCCCAGCTCCAGCTGGGTAACATTCTCTACGCTCTAGGAGAGGGAATAAATGATTCCAATATTATTTTCTAAATCAGGTGTTAGCCTCAGGGCACTTTGATCCCTTGCCCACCTTCTCACCTCTTAGAATTCTAATTTTTTCCCTTCATTGTCTCCCGATTGCCCCCGCCTGTGCTGGAGACCTTTGTTTAGTCCTGTAGAGCTACCACCAGTGATTAAAAGCCCTGAGAGGGAGTCCAGGCTTCCACGACCCGGTGGATTTGGGGGAGAACATAGGGAGCACATAGCCGACAAGGAACATAGATGAAGAAAGGAGGAGCATGTCTGAGATTGGATTGCATTCTCTTCTATGAGATGTCAGGCCTGAGCGTCAGGTAGTTTGGTACTATTATATTTAAATACCATCTTATTGGTCAAATAGGCTTCAGATTCTGACCTAAAAAACAACTACTCTTCTAGAAGATTCTTTTCATTGATTTCTGAATGTTGCCCAATTAGGGTCCGTGCCCTGGAGCAGTCAAGCCAATGAAACCTACTCCAAGTCAGAAAGAATGAGAAAGTTTATTTAGGAGGTGGTCACCAACGGGGATCCGACAGCAAGGCAGGTTGTCTCTATGGAGTTCCAAAAGGCCTTTTTACTTTACAGCTTATATATGATTTTTACAAACATTAGAAGTATCTTTGTAGCCCACAAATGGTAGGCCAGACGAGTTATTCATTACAAGGTAATTATAAGAGACTCTTTATCATACTGAAGAGGTACTTGCTGGACATCTCCTTATCAGGCTAAAGAAATACATGTCAGACATCTGGGCTCTAAGCTTCCTGTAGGTGGGGTCATAAACCACAGGTGGCCAGACAACGCAAATCAAAGTCATTAACAAAGGTATGCAGAAAGGAGAAGGCAAAGAAAAAAAAAAAACAGGTTCATCATGATGTTAGTTATGTCAAGCTCTCAGTTACCCATTTTGAAAAGGAGAAAACATGCTGGGGAGTATTAGGGTCACGGAAACAACCCCTTAACACACTACACATTGCTAAATTGAAGAATAAATGCTTTAATTTGACACAAAAATGCTTTGTTTGGATATTTCAGACTTTAAGGAAGATCTTACACAGAATTAGAGGAACAAGACTATACTGCAAACTGTGCAATCTGTTACAGAGGGGCATTGGATATCATCATGGCTCAATGGAATATAAAGAAAAACAAGTTGTGGAGATGCTTTTCAGAATGGTGCATGTGAAGGTTGGTGAACTTTGAGGATAACTCTCCTAAACGTGCTACCTTCACCTCATCCTTTGGAATGAGTTGTTGCTGTTAGTTGCCGACAAGCTTGCTCCAACTTACGGCCACCTTAAGTATAACAGAACAAACCATTGCCTGGTCGTGCAAACTCTCCATGATCTTTGATATGTTTGAGCCCATTGTTGCAGCTTGTGTGTCAATCCATCTCATTGTGGGTTTCTCTCTTTGTCTCTGACCCTCTTCTTTACCAAACACGATGTCCTTTTCTAGTGATTGGTCTTCCGTGATGACATGTCCAAAGTAAGCAAAATGAAGTCTCACCATCCTTGCTTCTGTGGAGCATTGTTGTTGTATTTCTTCTAAGACTGATTTGTTTGTTCTTCTGGCAATCCACAGAATATGATTAGGGGACAATAAGCTACCTTGACAGCTTAGATAGAATCTACTCTATCCATCTCCCTTATAAACCTTCCATTTAGAGGGAAGCTTTGCTAACGTTTTAACATATTTTATTCCATTCTATTTTATACAATTTTATATAGTTAATGTCATAATGTATATATCATTATGGATTCTGTTTACTTTGCATAATTTTAAATAATCAATTACATTATTTGATAATTACATAAGCATTTTATGAACACATAATATAGACATTTACTTAAACATTCCACTAATGTTGAAAATTTTTTTTTGTTTATAAGTGTATATCAGGGAGTGCTGGTGGTGCAATGGCTAAAGCACTTGGCTGCTAACTGAAAGGTCAGCAGTTGGAACCCACCAACAACTCCACAGGAGAAAAGACCTAGCAGCCTGCTCCAGTAAAGATTATAGCATAGGAAACCCTATGGGGCCGTTCTACTTTGTCATGTACGGTCACTATGAGTAGGAAGTGACTCAACGACACAGAACAACAACACGCGTGTATCAGCTTCCTGATTATTGACTTGGGATTGATTGAGTCTGCCAAGTGAAATTAATGCCTCAGAGTGCAAAAATAATTTTAAGACTAGAAATATATCCCCAAACGTCCTTTCAGAATGACTTTATTTTACTTTACCTTACCAAATGTTGAGTATATGGTTTGTTGTTGTTGTTAGGTGCCACCGAGTTGGTTCTGACTCATAGCGACCCTATGTACAACAGAACGAAACACTGCCAGGTCCTGGGCCATCCTCACAATCCTTGTTACGCTTCAGCCCATTGTTGCAGCCACTGTGTCAGTCCGTCTTGTTGAGGGTCTTCCTCTCTTTTGCTGACCCTCTACCAAGCATGATATCGTTCTCCAGGGACTGATCCCTCCTGATAATATGTCCAAAGTATGTGAGACGTAGTCTCATCATCCTTGCTTCTAAGAAGCATTCTGGTTGTACTTCTTTCAAGACAAATTTGTTCGTTCTTTTGGCAGTCCATGGTATATTCAATATTCTTTGCCAACACCACAATTCAAAGGTGTCAATTCTTCTTCAGTCTTCCTTATTCAACCTCTAGCTTTCACATGCATATGAGTATATGGTTAAATATATCTCGTTAGATAAAGAAATATGGTTTCATTGTTTTTATTGAATTTTCTTTATTATCTGTGAAGTTGACCTTGCTTTTTCAGGTTTTTTTTCATTAATGAAAAGCTTACCCAGAGCCAGGCAATGTTTTAAATGTTTTACATCATTTAATTCTCACCATACCCGTTGCCTTTGAGTTGATTCTGACTCACAGTGACCCAATACAACAGAGTAGAACTACCCTCTAAGATTTCCTGGACTATAATCCCGAGGGGAGCAGATCAGCAGGTCTTTTCTCCCGCAGAGTGGCTGGTGGGTTCACATCACCAACTTTTCAGCTAGCTGCCAAGGGCTTAACCATTGTGCCACCAGGGCCCCTTAGTACAAATGTAAGATGTTTACTAATAGGAGAAAACATGCACAGAGTATATGGGAAATCTTTGTACCATGTTTTAATTTTTCTGTAAATCTAAAGCTATTCTAAAAAAATAAAGTTTTCCAAAAAGTGGACCATATGTATTCTAAAAGATGAATTCTCTTCATACTGACTGCCGTGTTTTGTCAAGTTTATTAAATGTTTTGTTCAAATCTAAATCATTAGTGATTTCTTTTTTTTTGCCTTCTATCAATTACTGAGAATGGAATTATTGAGAGTAGAGTGCTTAAACCTTCTACTCGTATTGTAGATTTGTCTGTTTCTCTTTGTAGCACTGCCATTTTTCTCTTTATTTTGATACATACAATATAGTGTAACTATAAAAAATTAAGTACAAAACACCTTAAAAGCAGGCTGAAGAAAACAGAGATTACTATAACAGATAGATTGACATCTGACTTCCCAACAGCAAACACGGAAGCTTGGAATAAATGAAATTTTACGTTTAAAAAACTTTACAGAAATAATTGCCAACCTTGATTTTTATAAACTGCACAGATATCCTTCAACAATGAGGGCTAAATAGAGATTTTTTGGTAAATAAAATTGTTTACCATCTCCTCTCATCACTAAAAGAAAATTCTAAACAATACACTTAAGGTGGAACAAAAATGATTTCAGGAGGACGGTCAAAAAATACTTGAAAAAATGATCTGAGAGTAGTAAATGTAGGTAAATTGAAACATTTATTGTTCATTTGAAAATTAAAATAACATACTAGAATGAAAAGAGACAAAATTAAAATACATTACAACAGCCTATTTTTCAGAAGGGGGTTTCTTGAAGTAAAGTCCATGGGCAGGATAAAATTATTGATCTATTCAGGATTTTAAAATATGAATTAGGTCATTTTGACAGTACCCTCTAAAGCAAAGAATAGAATTTGAATGTGCAATATCCAAATTACAGGGGAAAAAATGGTATGTGAAAAATCTAAATCATTTAAAAAGTAATCAAGAAAGGATTTCAAAATTTATAATGTTGTGAAAAATAGAAAGCACAATAACAAACTAGACAGTCACAAATCCAATGATGTTACATATATTGAATGCATACGAACTAAACGACTGTAATTAAGACAACCAATTCAAGCTTCCTTAGTAAAGTATTCATGGTTGTCTGTATGGGACACATTTAAGACCTAAGGATAGGGAAGTGATTGAAAGTAAAAAGAAATAAAATTCGAATTATAATCAAAAGACAGCTGCTGTAGCTATGCTTATATCAAACAAAATATATTTTAAAGTTAAAAAAAATTATTACAGAAACAGAGCCACACTCTACAGAGATATTATTGTTAGGTGCCATTGAGTCGGTTCCAACTCATAACGACCCTATGTACAATAGAACGAAACACTGTCTGGTCCTACGCCATCCTCAAGAAAGATACACCAATTGTAAGTTTTTATATAATAGTACTAGTTCAAACTATTTAAAATAAAAATGGCAGAAACTACAAAGAGAAACAGACAAATCTACATCAAGAGTGGCAGCTTTTAACATGCTTTCTACTCTCAGCAATTCTATTCTTAATAATTGAGAGAAGACAAAAAATTCACTAATAACATAGATATGAACAAAACAATTAAGAAGCTTGACAGAACACTGTAGGCAATATCTTCAGGAAACATTTTAAAGTATGGAACATTTTTAAAATTAAAATATATTTGGTCTGAAAGCAAAGCTTAACATATTTCATAGGGCTAAAATCTGAAATCATCAAAGAATGTACTTAAATTAGAATCCAACAAGATAAATATAGAAACTTCATATGTTTACATATTAAGTATTAATTAATGGGTTAAAAAAGAAATTACAATGGAAATAAGGAAACATATTGAGTTGATAACTGTCTTGGTTATCTAGTGCTGCTATAACACAAATACCACAAATGGATGACTTTAACAAACAGTAATTTATTCTCTCACAGTTTAGGAGGTTAGAAGTCCGAATTCAGGGTCCAGTTACAGGGGAAAGCTTTCTCCCTCTGTCAGCTCTGGGAGGCAGTCCTTGTCATCAATCTTCCCTGGTCAAGGATCTTCTCAGCGCAGGGACCCCAGGTCCAAAGGATGTGCTATTCTCCTGGCTCTTGTTTCTTGGTGGTATGAGGTCCCACTATCTCTCTGTTTGCTTCTCTCTTTTATATTTCAGAAGAGATTGGCTTAAGACACAGCCTAACCTTGTAGTTTCAGTCCTACCTCATTAACATAACGGCCATTAATCCCACCTCATTAACATCATAGAGATAGGATTTATAACACATAGGAAAATCACATCAGATGCCAAAATGGTGGACAATCACACAATACAGGGAATCATGGCCTAGCCAAACTGACACATATTTTGGGGGGACACAATTCAATCCATGACAATAACCCACTGCCGTCAAGTCAGTTCCAACTCATAGCATCCCTGTAAGACAGAGTAGAATTGCCCCACAGGGTTTCCAAGGTTGTAAAACTTTACAGAAGCAGACTGCCACGTCTTTCTCCCGCGGAGTGACTGATGGGTTCTAACTGCTGACCTTTCAGTTAGCCAAGTACTTAGCCACTGCACTGCCAGGCTCCTTCATTGAGTTGATAGATGAATAAAATATGTATATTCTACTGTGGGATACGATTAAGCTAGTACTTAGAGAAAAATGTATTGCCATTTATGTGTCTATTTTGAAAAGAAGTACTGAAAAAGAGGCAAGAAAAGACATGGGCAACCTCAGGTAGGTGAGGTGACATAAGGCCGAGATAAAGCAGTTTCCAGTTGATGGCTTCATTTTCTCTAGAAATGTTATCAATATAATAGTATCTTTGATCCAGTTAGGAAAAGTAAAAATCTTAGGAAATATTCTTGAATAGTCTTTTTCCCTTATCTTACACATCTAAATAATCAGAATTCATCAGCCACTGTTATCGACTCAAAATCCAATATATAATATAGTGTAGTATAATATAACATAATATAATAATTTTTTTTTATGAATGCATATGTGTATTCTGTGTTATATTTTTTTTTATTCCTCTGCCCCTAGGTGGTAACAGCTACCTCATCCCTTGCTGTGGGGATTAATATGCCATGTAAATCTGTTGTTTTTACAGAAGATTCTGTTTATTTGGATGCCTTGAACTTTCAACAGCTTTTAAACTATATACCTTGTATTAAATCAATATACACCGGGATCTGGAACATCCATTCAGTACACCAAGATAAACCATGCTTACTCTAAAACGTTTATGTGTTACGAAAGTATTTGGAGATGGGGTCTATATATGACAGTTTATGAATACAGTTAAATTTAAAGACTTTTCAAGTAATCATTGACTGGCTAAATAGGTTAGTTGTCTTGAGAATGGCTCCTATTTAGTATATATTATTAGATTTAAACAAAAATAATATTAACAGGAGGTAATCACATCTTTCGAGCACCCAGTTGGTGCCAAGTACTATTCTATTCATTTGTTCACTCATTCAGTGATTACAAATTGAGTGTCTACTATGTTCTAAGTTCAAGCTAGTTTCTGGAAATACACAAATAAATAAGACAGAAATTGTCCCTGCTTTAAAGGTCGTGATCTTTAAACAGGAGATGAGGCACCATTACTTAAAAAGCAACACATTAAAAGAAATGTATTTGTAAAACAGTTTTTTTTTGACTTTGCTAAAATTAATGTACCAAGAAACAAGTTACTAAAACTTCAGGATTTATTTTTGAAAGTGTACTGTGTCAGAGGCATAAGTCAATCAAAAATGTACCATTTACAGTATTCAGTTTTGAAATTATTTAGAAGTTATTGACTATCCCTTTTAGATGTCTGGTCGTGCAGGGAGACGTGGAGAAGATCCTATAGGAAATGTGTTCTTTTATGACATCCCGTTACCCAAGGCAGAAAGGCTCTTGAAGTCGAACGTGCCTGAACTGAAGGGTCAGTTTCCTCTGAGCATATCCCTGATTCTCAGACTTATGCTGTTAGTTGGCAAAGCAGATGACAAAGAGGATGCGAAAGCTAAGGTACACTGTTACATATGATTTAAATTACCTAAATAAATATAGTCATTTAGCTCCATTTTCTAATAAGTTGCATAAGTTCTATAAACTGAAGGGAATAAAAAAGCAATACAATAAATAAACTCATAGCAATGGTTGATTCTATTTCATTGTTCTTTTATCCAACACAAAAACATGCTTTCAACTTACATGTTTTCAAATATATAGAAAACTAAGTCCACAGTTTTCCTGTTATGATTACTCCCATCCCGAATTCTACAAATATTGAAAAAAAAATTTTTCTGTACATGTATCCGGTCTAAAACCTTTTAAAAATCAAATATCAAAAAAGTAATTAGAAGTTGAAAAATGTCCAAGAAACTGAAATGTTCCTGATTCTTGGTTCTACATTTTTAAACCATATGCGTACTTCTCACTTGTACTATATAAAGTTATAATTGTTTCTCTCTCCTCTTAAATTTACCTACCTTTTTCTGTTATACGCACAAACACACACATATACATAAAATTTAAAACATATTATGGACTATGTAATTATAATAATAAATATTATAATAATTGTTATAAATTACATAATAAAGCAGTATGGAATGCTTAATTTAAAATCTACAGATATACATTATATATAGTATATAAGTATTTATGACTATGTTCTATAATGGAAACGTTTTATTGTCTTTTTGGATATGGCAGCTGGAAGGCACACTACAACATTCGTTTAATATCTAACTTGATATTTTGATATATGTATATATAGGCATTATCAGTGCTACAACATTCATTGATGTCCTTCAAGCAACCAAGAATCAAGTGTGTGTTAAAATTTTACTTTATATATTCTTTGCAATTTTTGGCCGCAGAGGCAAGATTTAAACCTAATTTTACTAAATGACAGCAATTAGCTCTACTGTCCTACAATCTCCTCTGTTGATGACTTATTTGTTTGCTCTTTCTGAGCTTTAGGGACTCAGGTTAACATGTTAAAGTTGGTTTTGTGGGGATACCTGGATGAGGACTGTATTCCCAGGGGATATTCTGGACTTGTGTGCCATTTGCACTACTGTGAACCTGCAAATTTTGTTTTAGTAAAGCTTCCTGGGAAAACGTGTATTCCACAAGCTGTGCAAGCCAATGAGTATAAATGGTAAGCAAATATTCTTTTCCCAGAAATCTGTTGATTAAATTGCACACACACGTATGTTTACATATACCCACATATTCTCTAGAACGGCAGTCACTCTGGCAGGATGGCGTCCCGTTTTCTCACTGCTTTTACTCAATATATTTGGAACTTCTGGGAAATTTTTATATCATTATATATTTAAAAATATTAATGTATGCATGATGTATGTGCAGACCGGAATAATGTAGATATTATTCTTGATTAAAATCCTTCTGGCTTTTAAAAATTAAAACCCTTAGGTTCATTTCAGATGATGAACATTCTTCTGAAATCACAAGGTATTTTCATGTATAGCAATCTTAAAAATTGAAATAATACATGTAAAATCACCAATTTCATCCTTTGTAAATCTGGTCATTGATATGAAAAATAGTCTCACATATAGGTCAGAATCCTTATATGTATTATAGTTAGCTATGAAGATAACAGCTCAAAGTCAAATATGAATTAAAGGAATATATTGGCAACACGTTGGCAACATATGTTGCAATCTTGATTTCTTTTTTTAAATTGTAAATCATATTTTTCCATTTTCAGTAACTCTAACATATTGCCATCAGCTAAAGAGAGAAACCCAGCGCTGTGGTTCAAACTTAAACTCAAACAACTGGAACTGGATATATAATTAACATTCCATCACTATATATATTTTTGAAACTTAACTTTGTTAAAATAGTAAAGCAAATAGTTAAAAATCATATTATATACAACTACTAATAGATCAAATCATAAAGCCTTTGATCCATATGAATTGACATTTTTTTCACTAAAGAATCATGGAAATTTATTATCACTGAATTTTACTTATTGTAAAAATATTGTGTGTAATGCTGCATCAAGGAGCTCTAGTGGTGCAGTGGTTAAGTGCTTGGTTGCTACCCAAAAGGTTGGCAGTTCAAACCCACCAGCCACTCTATAAAGATGTAGCAGTCTGTGTCCGTAAAGATTTACAGCCCCAGGGGTCACAATAGAGGGTCCTGGACAGAGCTGGAGAAAAATGTAGAACAAAATTCTAACTCACACACACAAAAAAAGACCAGACTTAATGGTCTGACAGAGACTGGAGAAACCCCAAGAGTATGGCCCCCGGACACCCTTAAAGCTCAGTAATGAAGTCACTCCTGAGGTTTACCCTTCAGCCAAAGGTTAGACACGCCCATAAAATGGGCACACCAGAGTAGGGGCAAGGACAAGATGGCAGGAGGGAGCAGGAAAGCTGGTAATAGGAAACCCAAGGTTGAGAAGGGAGAGTCTTGACATGTCGTGGGGTTGGCAACCAATGTCAGAAAACAATATGTGTACTTACTGTTTAATGAAAAACTAATTTGCTTCATAAACCTTCCTCTAAAGTACAATTAAAAAAAAAAAAGATTTACAGCCTTGGAAACCCTATGGGACAGTTCTACTCTGTCCTATAGGGTCACTAGGACTTGGAACTGACTCAACGGCAACGGGTTTGGAGTTTTCGGAATGTAGCATCGTGACATTAAAGGAATAAAAAAACTGAAAACAATTTGTTCCTAAAACACAAATTCTGCAAGTTTCAGTCTTAACGCTCTGCGTTTCTCCAACAGTAAGAGGCAGCTGTTGCCTGTTTGCGAATTCTGTCAGGGATCATCATGATCTACTCGCTCATTCTCTGCCTAGTGATTAAGTGGTATTAGTATGGGCATGGTGCTCTGCTACTTACTGTGGCGGATTAAAGATCAGGAATCAGACATCAAGGAGACTGACGCCCTAAAATGCTATAAAGATTGGGCATTTAAAAACATGGGGAATAAATATTCCAGAGAGGAAGTATTGGGAACAAAGGTCTGGTGATGGAGACAGAAGGAGTGAGTTCGTTTTGGACTATCATGAAGCTAAAGAGACACAGAGTGGGTGTCAGCTCACAGCTGGGTTCCAATGGTAGATAAGGAGTTTGGAAAGTAGCAGAGGGCCTTTGCTCCTTGGGGGTTTTTGAACAGAGGTCGATAAATTGAGTGAAACTGAGAAGTATAAGGAAGGTTTGAAGCTGACGATGGGACCCAGAGAAATTCCAGAACTAGTGACTGTTTTTTTTTCCTCCCCCAGATTGCTGCAGCAAAGAGAGGATACAAAAATATAAACCATTTAGTGTCAGTAAGGAGTCATTCGGTTTGCATTATTATAAAGTAATATTGCGATGTATTAAAAATTCACCAAATGTCTGGAAAGTGACTTTTTTAATGTGTTTTGTCTTGAAATTTTAAGTTTAGCTATTAAGCACTGGCTCAGCATACTTATAAAATGATGAATTTTGTGCTCTAAAGTTTTGAAAATTAAAGTCTTTATTTTAAACAGGCCCAAAGAAATTTTCTGAAGATGTGATGGAAACCTTAGTGGTGGTGTTAGCACATCTCTTTGGAAGACATTATTTACCTCCATGTGTGGAAAAGCGTAAGAAAAAATTTTCTCCTTCAGTGGTAAGAGAAACAAAAATACTACAGTCTTGCAATTCTTGGTAAAATCTTCACATTATAACATGAAATGTAATAGCATTTTGCCTGTAACAACGGTTTGTCTGTGATTCACAAGAGCTTCTTCTTCCTGCGTTAGCCAATTCTTGGTCTATACAATGGCTTCTCAGATGAGGAAAAGACTGAGGTCTTGCTTTAAAAATGGACAGCCTTTTGTAATTGACTAATTTCACTCAGCGTGTTTGCCAGGTTCATCCATGTTGTAACATGTACCGGGACTGCATTTCTCTTTACGGCCGAGTGGTATTTCACTGTAATCTACAATTATCTCAACACAAAAAGTTTAATTCATTCAAAAATAAAATGAAAAAGAAAAATGGGGGGGGGGGGGGGAGAAGGAAAACCTATTCCTGTAAGAGAGTCTTGGTAAGCTAGTAGCATAACAGTTTTTTTTATTACATTGAAGAGGATACCAAACAACACTGCCTTACATAGGAAATAACAGCTATAGTAACATTTATATATGAAGTGAGAAGACAGAAATGTTCAGTTTAAGAACCATTTAAAAGTATTGATCTGGGCATTCAGTCATTGCCAAATGAAAGACATGAAATTATAACTATTAGAACGGTAAACATAGTGAGCCGAGTAGTTACCAAGGTTAATGCCAGGTGCTTAGACTTAATCCTGGCTCTGCCACTTAGCAGATGGGCAGCTTTCCCGCTGACACATGACAACCCTGTAGGACAGAGTAGAACTACCCGATAGGGTTTCCAAGGCTGTTATCTTTACAGAAGCAGACTGCAAGTCTTTTTCACTGAAGTCTGTTTTCTTACCTGTAAATTGAGAATCGTAATAGTATCTACTTCAAAGGATTGCTGTGAGTGTTAAGTGAATTAACATTTGCAAAGTTCTAGAAAAGTGCCTGGAACATAGGAAACATGCAATATGTGTTAGGTCTTATTTCTGTAATGATTGTTATTTACACTTGAAATAACTGGGTGCTGGAAAAACCAAGAGAATCAACAGAAAAAGGATTAAAATTAAAAAGAGTTTAGTAAGTTTTCAGATGCAAATAGCTCTAATGGAATGTATAGCTTTTCTGATACTAAAATAAAGAAAATAAAATGTGAAATGATCACACCAATATTAAAAAAACAGGAAATATATATAATATATACTCTATTTCAAGGGTCAATTACAATTAAGTTACATTGATAGAAGAGTAAAAAGATATATCCCTTGAAAATATTCTTTAGTGTGGTATTTTTTCCTTCTAGGGATTTATACTAATGATATACTGAAAGCTACAAGTAAGAATGTTGTAGAAATATGTTAATATGTTAAATTAGAAATAATTTAAAATTGGAATCCATGTCCATATCAACAATAGGAGAATGATTAGACGAATTTTAGCAGGTGTAGTATATATGAGATTATATTATATATAAGTAAATATATATATGACAGTACTATGCAGCCACTAAAATTTGACTTTTCAAAGAATATTCTATGACATGAGGAAATACTCCAGATATAATGTTGAGTATAAACATTAGACCATAAAACTGAATACTGTAACATAAATTTGCATAGAAAAGGCTGGAAAGAAATACTATATACACCAAATTCTTTATCACTGATTCCCTGAGTGATGAGATTAGAAGTGATTTTAGTTTTTATGTTTACACTTTATTCTAAATAATAGAATTTATACTTAGAAATTTATCCCCATCCCAACTTTTAAAATATTTTGGCTCTGGTATCTCAGAGATCTGAGTGATCCTCTGCTTCTGTTTTCAATAGTTGTTGTAGTAAGGTGCCATCAAGTTGGTTCCAACTCACAGCAACCCCATGTACAACAGAATGAAACACTGCCTGGTCCTGTGCCATCCTCACAGTTGTCATCTTTGAGCTCATTGTTGCAGCCACTGCGTCAACCCATCTCGTTGAGGGTCTTCCTCTTTTTTGCTAACCCTCTTCTTTACCAAGCACGATGACCTTTTCCAGGAACTGGTCCCTCCTGATAAGATGTGCAAAGTACACCATCCTCACTTCTAAGGAGCATTCTGGCTGTACTTCTCCTAAGACAGATTTGTTCATTCTTCTGGTAGCCCATGGTGTATCCAGTATTCTTTGTCAACACCACAATTCAAAGGCATCAATTCTTCTTCTATTTTCCTTATTCACTGTATAGCTTTTGCATGTGTATGAGGTGCTTGAAAATACTGTAGCTTGGGTCAGATACACCTTAGTCCTCAACGTGACATCTTTGCTTTTTAACACTTTAAAGAGGTCTTTTGAAGCAGATGTGCTCGTGTAATACGTCGTTTGGTTTCTTGACTCCTGCTTCCATGGGCGTTGATTGTGGGCCCAAGTAAAATGAAATCCTTGACAACTTAAATATTTTATCCTTTGATCACAGTGAAGAGTTACATTCATCCATTTCTCTGTTTCTAGGTAGTTCTAGATAAACTTCCCAAGGACTTTGCTGACGTGGCGGAGGAACACAACAATAGCATCCACAGGAACTTTGGTTCTTTCCTCCTCACAGTTCCTAAGTTGGCGGACATGAGAAAAGAATACCAATTACCTCTCTCAGAAATCGGTAGGGTTATGAACATACATGAAAAAAATGAAAGGTCAATAAAAGAAAATAAATATTAATTTTGGAGTTTAAATTACAGAAAGTAAGAACAGTTGCAAAAAATAATACACCTTCTCCTCACTTGTTGACTATCTCGTTATCGGACATTTCATATTTACGACAATAGTAAAAAGTCTTCTAATATTTTGTGCATTAATAATATGTCTGGCAGTAGTGAAGGCCAAGATGTGAGGAGAGAGTGACATTGGCTTTGATGGGTAAGGTTATGCGTTAACTTGGCTGGGCTATGATTCTTAGTGGTTTGGCAGTTATGTAATGATGTAATTTAACAGTTATGTAATGATGTATTTTGGCAGCTATTTAATGATGTAGTATCTTTCATTTTGTGATCTGATGTGGTCATCCTCCATTTTTGTTTAACACCTATTTCATGTATCGACCTGGTCTTTGGAAGCTAACTGTGTCGACAAGTGAGGAAAGAGTGTACACTGGAATTTAATGTAATCCTTCAGATTTATGCTGTGGAAATTATATAACAGAAAATATATTATTTGAAACTAGCTAAGCCACCATGATTTGATTTGACACTGAATGTTTGAATTATTTTTATATATTCTGGTGTCATTGTTAGCTAATAGAGCATTGCATGGTCTAAGTTTATTCTAGAAAACTCCTTTCCACTCTTAACTAGTTCAACTTTCACATATAGACAAATTTGAAAGTATAGGAAAAGGAGTATTGGAGTATTTATTATGAATCACCAGTATGTTGTATTTCCTTGAGTTCAATGGAAGATAACAAAGAAGTTTTTAAGGTATTGTCCATGTCTTCAAGGTGTGGACAGAGTGAATGAGATAGAAATATTACAAAGATATAAGGAAAATTGAGTAAACTATATCAGATAAAATAAAGACATTGTTGAATAAATGAAGAAAAAATACTGTATTTTAAAGAGGTTTTTTTTTTAATTGTACATTAGATGAAGATTTACAGAACAAACTAGCTTCTCATTAAACAGCACACGTATTGTTTTATGACATTGGTTACCAACCTCATGACATGTCAACACTCTCCTTTCTTGACCTTGGGTTCCCTATTACCAATTTTCCTGTCCCCTCCTGCCTTCTAGTCCTTGCCGCTGAGCTGGTGTGCCCCTTTAGTCTTGTTTTGTTTTATGGGCCTGTCTAATCTTCGGCTGAAGGGTGAACCTCAGGAGTGACTTCATTACTGAGATAAAAGGGGATCCAGGGGCCCTACTCTTGGGGTTTCTCCAGTCTCTGTCAGGCCAGTAAGTCTGATCTTCTTCTGTGAGTTAGAATTTTGTTCTAATTTTTTCTCCAGCTCTGTCTGCGACCCTCTGTTGTGATCTCTGTCAGAGCAGTTGGTGGTGGTAGCCGGGCACCATCTAGTTGTGCTGGACTCAGTCTGGTGGAGGCTGTGATAGTTGTGGTCCATTAGTCCTTTGGACTAATCTTTCCCTTGTGTCTTTGGTATTCTTCATTCTCCTTTGCTCCAGGAGTGGGACCAGTGGAGTATCTTAGATGGCCACTCGCAAGCTTGTAAGATCCCAGATGCTACTCACCAAAGTAGGATATAGAACATTTTCTTTATAAACTACGTTATTCCATTGAGCTAGATGTCCCCCGAGACCATGGTACCCAGCCTTCAACCCAGCAATTTGATCCCTCAGGGCATTTGGATGTGTCTGTGAAGCTTCGATGACTTTGCCTTGTACAAGTTGTGGGGGCTTCCCCAGTATTGTGTACTGTCTTACCCTCCACCAGAGTTATCACTTACGTATTGTCTAGCTAGTGTTCTTCCCTCTCCACCCTCCCCATCCCTCATAACCATCAAAGATTGTTTCTTTCTGTGTGTAAACCTTTTCATGAGTTTTTATGATAGCAGTCTCATACCGTATTTGCCCTTTTGTGATTGATTGATTTCACTCAACATAATGTCCTCCGGGTTCATCCATGTTGTGGGCTGTTTCATGGATTCATCATTGTTTTTTATCGATGCTTAGTATGCCAATGTGTGTAGGTACCACAGTTTGTTTATCCATTCATCTGTTAATGGGCATCTAGGTTGTTTCCATCTTTTTGCTATTAAGAACAATACTGCAGTGAACATGGGTGTGCATACGTCTATCCATGTGATAGCTCTTATTTCTCTACGATCTATTCCTAGGAGTGGGATTGTTGACTCATATGGTATTTCTATTTAAGGCTTTTTAAGGAAGAGCTATATTGTTTTCCAAAATGGTTGTACCATTTTGCATTCCCACCAGCAGTGCATAAGAGTTCCGATCTCCCCACAGCCTCTCCAACATTTTTTGTTTTCTTTTTTATTTAATTTTTTTATTGTACTTTAGATGAAGATTTACAGAACAAATAATTTCTCATCAAACAATTAGTACACATATTGTTTTATGACATGGATTAACAACTCCATGACATGTCAACACTCTCCCTTCTTGGCCTTGGGTTCCCTATGACCAGCTTTCTTGTCCCCTTCTGCATTCTAGTCCTTGTCCTGAGCTGTTGTGCCCCATTAGTCTCGTTTTGTTTTATGGGCCTGTCTAATCTTTGGCTGAAGGGTGAACTTCGGTGTTCCATAGCATCTTAGAAGAGTTAACTAATACCGAATTTCATATTAAAGTATAGGAGGATAGTATTGATTTTTGGCCTGGTGTCGTCAGGTCCACTAATGTGCAAAATGAGGCATATGTTTTGTACTTTGTAAATGATGTCTATCTAATTTCTGAGTGGATACATTCATAAGAATTACCCAAGTTGTCCAATTGGACTCAGTGGTGTCTACAAATAATAGAACCATTAGCAGATGCCTGAATGACTTTAGTTCAGGAAGAAAGCCTTCCTAGTGATGATTTGGGAATATAACTCTCAAATTTTCTTCTGAAACGCTTTCCTTTTCAATAACTTTAATAGTTTTTCTAGGTATAATGGTATACACAAGTCATATTTTCTTAAATAATTTACGTTTTATAGGAGAATAGCAGTCCCTGTGTAGTGCAAATGGTTAACACATTTGGCTGCTAACTGAAAGAATGGAGATTTGAGTTCACTCAGAGGTGACTTTGAAGAAAGGCCTGGTGATCTATTTCCAAAAAATGAGCCATTGAAGCCCTGTGGAGCACAGTTCTACTCTGACACACATGGGGTCGCCATGAGTCAGAATCGACTGGATGGCAATTGGTTTTTCTAAATAGGAGAACAGTTTTCCATTGAATCCTTATTTGACTTTTCTGTTCATTGCTTCCTAGACTTTTCAGGTAAAGAATGTGAAGACTCAGAACTGGTCCCTCATTTGATGCCGGGATCAGAAAGCAGAACTGCTGTCTCCCCATTTGCATGCCTGTCCAATATTACTGATCAAGATTTATTTGATATTAATGTGGTAAATGATGTATGTCAATTTTAGTGTGAAATTTCCTTTCATTCTGTTTATTCATTTATGAGAAATAACGTTTACATGATTATGATACGAGTTCAAAGTCCAGGAAGACAAAGCTATCTCACTCCTATTCCAGAGTTGTAGTACTTTACACTTAAACCAAAAAACCAAAGAAAAAAACCCTGTTACTCTCGAGTCGATTCCGACTCATAGTGACCCTATAGGACAGAGTAGAACCACCTCATCGGGTTTCCAAGGAGCGGCTGATGGATTCTAACTATCTGCACCATCAAGTTTTACTTTCTTAGACTTAAGTCTTTTTTTTTTTTTATGAATTAGACGTTAAAAAGAATGACTGGTACTTTCTCAATTAATCACTATGTATAAATAATATCTTAATATGGGCATCGCTAGGCTATAAACCCTTGCTACTCAAAGTGTCAACCACAGACCGACCTCACTGGTGCCACCTGTTGGAAATACAGAATCTTGGACCTTATCCCAGACTCAGTAGTGCAGAATCCATATGAAAGATCAAGAAGCCCTACAATAAGCCAGTGGAGGGAGGTTGATGTTGGTCTCTCCTCGTTTTTGTGTTCCTTGCACCATGAAATGGTACATGGCACAGAGTAGACACTCAATAGTGTATCAGACACTTCATCTTTACTGCCTCACATGAAGCTCTAGGCAGGCTCAGGAGGAGCAAGACCCCCAATTCTAGCTGCCCTCCAACGGCTTTCTGTAGCATTTTGTTGCGTTTCGGCAGGAACTAACCTCTGAGTTGAACTATAATGACAGTGATCCAATCATTTGCCAAAATAAGATACTTGTATCCTAAAAGACAGTATAAGAAGAAATTAAGTGTATGGCAAAGGAAAAAATAAGCACTATTAAATATAGCTAATGCCAGTAGAAGTTTTGTAGGCTCCAGAATATTTTTTCAGAAAAATTAATCTATAAAATATCTGTAATGTATTTCTGAGTTTGTTAAAATGCCTGTTCAACTTTAAATTTCCAACTCATTGGAAGGTTAGTTTCCATGATATCAAAAATAGTTATATTTTAACTATTGACTTTTTTACTGACGTTGTTGGGATATTTATACTAAGGTTTGGAGAAATTTAATGTACTGTTTGAATATTTGACAATGCTTTGTTTAAAATATATTAGGATATATACATATATATACATATGTATGTATGTATTTTATTTTTAGTTAGCTGGATGTGATTAACCAAGTATTAACTTCATTACAAATTTTGTAATAGATTAAGGCACATCTCAAAAAATGCTAACTATCTAAAATTTCTGCCTTTCTTCGGGCTATGCTACGAATGCTTAGTGTGAATATAACAGATATTCCTTTCCTTCAGTTGAATAAATGTGATAAAAACGGAAGGAAATGTCCATTGAATGGCTATGCATTGAGCTTCTACAAACACGGTTCGCTGTTAGCCCTGAGTTTGGATAACTGGTATGAACCTTTTCTATTTTAACATCTTTAACTATGTGTGTGCATGTGTAAGGAGTGTTTATTGTGCTCTGGCATTATGACTTACGAAGAATAATTTAAGATGCATTAAGCTGAGTTTATTTGGTGGTATTTTCAATGTATGTGAAATATTTAACATCAGTGACATTAATCTGGTGATGCATAAGAGCCCTAAGTCTTATTTTTTAACCAAATGATCCACATCTTTCCTAGCCCAGTCATTTTAAGGCTAAATTCACAATGGTGCAATACTAGATGGAAAGGTTGCCAGCACTTCTCTGCACTCCTTCTATATCTGGTTTACTGTGTGCCTGAGCTCACTCTGGCTGGGCACGTTTGAATGAGAATGTGGTCAAATGCCAGCAATTCTGTGGTAGTTTAGTATTTTTTTTACCATAGGTTGGGAGCACACACACACGCACAAAGAAGGTGCATTCCATTAAATATTACTTTATTTATTCTCTAGGTTAAATATGGGAGATGCTTTTAATTTAATCAGAGATTTTACACTTGTTATCCAAGCCATCAGGTACAGTAAACATTTCCATATTTGAAGATCATATAAGCACTTAATCACAATGATAATAATTTTAAAACAATCTTCTATAGGGTTTCACTAAGTGAATTATATGATAATGAAGATAACAATGTTGTGTTGGCATTTAAGCAACTAAGTGAAGCATTCTGTACAAAATTTTGGAAGAAAAGAAGATACTGACAGTGTTGAATTTTACCTGAGTCCTGTGCTCCTGGAAAACAGGAATGATCAACTCATCCTCCCACTCATTTGTGTTCCAGGAAATGGTTGACTGCAAAGAACCGCCCTTCCCCATGTGACTTAGATAAGACTCGAGGATGCCCCCCTTATTGACCTATACAAGGCAGGACACAGACTTTTCATATTCCTATTCTTTGTCTCATTGATGATTAGCTAGCTGAACTGTTTGTCTTCACTGGCCAATCTGGACAGAATATTCGCTAACTTGACTGGATCAAACTTTAGTCAAGCTTCTCCCTTCACCACAGGCCACTGAATTTTGACCCACCCGCAAACAGAGCCAGCATCTGAATGTCAAATTGCCACTCCTTAAGGACCCTCCCCAAAATCTTCTGATCGCAAAGAAGGATACTCTGTAATCAACCGTCATATCCTACCACCTGCTCCTCTCACTCCCCCATGCCTCGTTCCTTCTATCCTTATTTACTGCCGCCGATAGAAGAAAAGAAGCCCTGGTGGCACAGTGGTTAAGAGCTAACCAAAGGTCAACAGTTGGAATCCGCCAGCCACTCCTTGGAAACCCTGTGGGGCAGTTCTACTCTGTCCAATAGGGTCGCTATGAGTGGGAATCCACTCAATGGCAATGGGTATAGAAGAAAAGCCCCTCTCTGGCTGGCCGTTGAGGTCCTAGCAGGTCCTGTGCTCTCCCTTTTGTCTTCACACCCACAATAACCCCCTCCCCGTATTGCAATAATGTTTTCTAATAAATTCTCTCCTTGCCTAGGCCCGGATTTTTTTTTTTTTTTTCATTTGATAACACCTTGCCATGCCAGAAAAATAAAATGCATTATCTAGTTAAGTATAGATTTCACAGTTTCTTGAGCTAATTATAGAAAGACTTCCTAGTGAAGAAATTTATCAGTTAAATATCTAAATTCTCAACAGATATTCTAAAAACACTTTTTCTTTTTAATTAAAAATTTGAGCTGGCAAAGTGACATCTATGCTAAATGTTTCAAGCAAGTTACTGTTTTTGACTTGAATTATGAACTATGTGTTTTTTTTTTAAGCTAGAAGTCAAACCTAAATTAAAATAATATAACATCATACAGCATAGCAGTAAAGTAGTAAATCTTGAAGATGGTTTCAGAAATCTAGTTATTTCTAAATCTTTCATGTTGTGTCCATTGTTTCTGTTCTACATGTTCTGATTCATCCACGGTGTGTTTTCATTTACCTTCAGACCAGTAGAGGGAGCTCCACAGGGGTGGGGCCATTAGCGAGTGTAAAATGTTACATACAGAATACAGCGCTTCTCTGCAACCTGGTGGCACTGTGCTTAAGAGCTACCCCTGCTAATCACTAAGGTCAGCAGTTTGAATCCACCAGCTGCTCCTTGGAAACCCTTTGGGGGTAGTTCTACTCTGTCCTGTAGGGTTGCTATGAGTCGGAATCAACTCGACAGCAACGGGTTTGGTTTTTTTTTTTTTAAATCAGCTTCACCAGTTTATCTATAATTATTGCATATGCATCCTCATTTATTTTGCCTGGCTTCATCAACTGCTGCTTTCTATGATCTTGGTTTTTGTGTTACTCTTGCTTTGACTGGAAGTTCTCTGTCGTGGACTCTCCCCTTCCCTCCTCTGCTGTCATACTCGGCTAGGCTGTGGCTGAGATCTAGATTCTACCCGAAATTTGATCTCCGTGAGTATGTTTTCTTTTGCTGATTCCAATTTGCTGAATCTTGAAAGACAGAAGGGACCAAGCTCTACTGAATGCACAAAGCAGCATAATTTCCCAACGACTTTACTACGTACGTTGAGATGTAAAGACAAAAAACGGTGCGCAGTGACTTTTCTGGCATTGCTTGGGCAAGTGGTTTGGTTAGACACTGACTCAAAAAAAAAGAAAATTAACATGAGATGAATTGCTTTTACCAGAGTGGTTGCCAAACGCACACACAGACACACCCACACACACACCCACACACACACACATACCTGCACACATACACCTGTTTTTACCTCGAAGCTCCTTGTAAATATAATCCTACCAAATATATATCAAGCTGCATTTTGCTATTTGGTATTTTTATTTTCTTTTAAAAGCTGCTGTAGCTGTTCACTTTAGCTTTATTGTATTTGTACAGAAGTCTTGAAAATTCTTCTATGGGGGGTGGTTGCACGCTGTATTTTCTTTGACCTCCCAAGACATGCTTAGGACCGCTTTGAGAACACTCTGGTAGAGTATCAATGGTTTACATTGAAACGATTTCAATTTCAATGAAATTTTTTTATTAATCCATCATACACAATTTAATAAATTGCTGATTTGGATAATAGGTGAAACCCAGTATTACATACTTTCATCAACAGAATTTTCTTCAGTTTGGAGTAATTTTAAAGATAGATGAGAAAACATGATTCTATAGCAAAATTGTATTAGAAAATCTTCACTTTTGATGCGTCTGTAAAGAGGAGTGCGTGGTCCTCCAAATCCTCTGTCTCAGTAGTCGTCAGCATCCCCAGCGCAGATGGCAAGCAGTGCTTTCCTATAATGCCCTGAAGCAAAATTCTGAAAAGAAAACAATACATATTTGAAATACTATGTCACAGTATTTCTAGAAGAGAACTTTATTTCCTCTGAAATGCAGTTTGAAAGACCCATGAGCCTTCCCAAATTTATATACTTTTTCATCTAAAGGTTTAAAGTGTCCTGAGAACTGTTGCCAGTGGGAGTTATTTGAAAAATGATACCATGTTTACAGTCTACATAACATGGTTTAGATAAAGCTGATTGACCTCTAGTACGTATTTATGAGAAGAATAACTTGCCGCTGAATTAAATCATCTCCTCAACTTTAGAAATAAGTACCCTAATATTATTGTTCTAAATCAGTATAGAGCCCTCTGGAGAGCAAATTGACAATGTATCTCAAAAGACTTAATAATATTTATACTCATAAATGCAGTGATTTGACTTCCAGAAATATATATATCAGTTATTGATGATCACAAATATTTATGCTAAATAATATACACCTTAATATTGTTTATAATAGTGATAAAATGAAAATAGAACAGAAAGTATAATAATATGGAGTAGTTTATGTACTTTACAGCTCACACGATAGGATATCATGGCCCAATAAAAATATCCCTTTAAGTAGTGAAATAAATTATCGTTTATATATGTGTATATGTATATTTTAAAGACTGAAAACCCCTGACACAAAATTTCATGAATCGTTATCTGTAGTAGATAACTAGAATAATTTTTATTTTCTTTTTATAGTCTTCTATCGTTTTCTGAAAAGGTGCCCTGTTGGCACAGTGGTTAAAGCACAGAAAGGTTGGCGGTCTGAACCCACCAGCCGCTCTGCAGGAGAACGATGCAGCAGTCTGCTTCCATAAAGGTTACAGCCTTGGAAATCCCATGGGGCAGTTCTACTCTGTCCTATAGGGTTGCTATGTGTCTAATTGACTTGAGGGCAATGGGTTTTTTTTTGGGGGGGGGTGAGGGGAGTTATAGTTTCTAAATATTCCAAAATGATAAAAAACAATAAATAAATAACACTATAAAACCAATTTTTGTTAAAAATCAACTATCACATTAATGTTCTCTTCCACAAGATCATGTGATTATAATTCCTTGCTTTAAATGCACATGGTAAAGTTGCACTGAGTACTTGTAAATATTAGTAGACTTTGAGGTGGTTGTAATTACTTGCAGTACATATCTAAGAACTACTTTATTTATCTAGAAAATGAGTTATGACATGCAGTTTTCAATGGAAAATTTTTATCACCACGAAGCGGGGTAAGGTCTCTAGGTGGAGCAAACATTTTGCACTCAGCTAGTAGTCATCAACATTCCCAGCACAGGTTAGTGGTTCAAACCCACCCAGAGGCACTGCGGAAGAAAGGGCCTGGCGATATACTTCCACGGCCAAGAAAACCCTATGGGACAGTTCTACTCTGCAGTATCTGTGGTTGCTGTGAGTCAGAATCAACTCAACAACAACACAAAACAATAACAAAGACAGTGTAGGGTTTTCAAGGTGGTGCGAAGAGCGTTTTATCTCAAACAAAGAAAGAAGATTTTTCTTAACTGCTCCATCAACTCTTACTCTTGGAAACCACCTCAGCTACCCAAGGACCCACAAGGTTTTCTTCTGTGGTTTTGGGGTCTCTTGGTCTTTGCCGAGTTGCTTCTGGATTACTCTTTCGCTAAACTAAAAAGCTATTTCTTGCAAAGGAAAATCTCCATTGAAAACCATATGAACAAGGTGCCAGCGTTTATCTGTGTGCAAAATATGCATTAAGATATATTCTCAGGACCTGCTGGTTCTTAGTTTATTGCTCAGCTGTCACCATCATGAAATTCTTAATAATATTTTGAACAACGGGCCAAGCATTTTCGTTTTTCACTGGGTCCCAAAAAATATGTAGTCATGCCTGTATATTCTGAAAATACCTCGCTAGGTTTCATCAAAACCCTGGGAAAAGCTTAGCAGTATCAGAATGGAGAAATTGGCTACTTACTTTTGAATCACCCTCCTCTGCACTTCAGGAGCTGAAGAGAAAATTCTCCATAACCAGCAGTGCTAGATTTCTCCAGATTACCAGTGTCTGAGATTTGGCTGACTGCCCTGCCTTCTATGGGATGTGAGAGGCAGGCTAAACTGATTTAAGACCCCTCTTCACAATCAGCGTTGTCTTGCTGAAAAATGTATTTTTTTTTTTTTTTTCCTGAGAAGTGCCTCCTGCTGATCCTGATCATACTTCAGAATTAAGCCTCTAAAGCACTATTATTGTGGCTGAGTATTTAACACGGGAGCCTTGGTGGTGCAGTGGTTAAGTGCTATGTCTGCTAACAAAGAGGTCAGCAGTTTGAATCCACCAGCCGCCCCTTGGAAAGCCTATGAGGCAGTTCTACTCAGTCCTACAGGGTCACTATGAGTTGGAATCAACTCGACGGCAATGGGTTTGGTTCGGTTTTATTTTACATGACCACAGCAATGGTTTTTGCTTAAGACACATCAAAGAAGCATAAATTCTGTCACTGAGATTAGTTAGACGTACTAACGGTTCTCTGAAGTGCTAGATAATCCCTGCTTGACTTTTTAGCTTCTAGTATCAAGTTATTGAAACTAAAGCTTTTGTCTCGGTTTTGAAAGGGGACCTTACGTGTCTAAATAAATGGCCAGCGGGGACTTACCCTGATGTCGTGAAACAGGGATTTTCCGTATCTTTCTTTGTACCGTTTCCTGACGGTCCGCAGGTCGATTTCACTTCTGGCGATCAGAATCCTGATTACGGTTTTATTATGGAAACCAAAGTCCTAACGGATATAGAAGAGGGGGGAAAACGAGACAACGGTACCTTAAATTCAGTCTAAAAGTGGGAATCTCTGGGTGGTGCACACAGTTAAGCGCTCTGCTTGTAACCCAAACGTTGGTCTTGAAGTCCACCTAGAGGCAACTTGGAAGAAAGGCCTGGCAATATACTCCCAAAAAACGAGCTGTTGAAACCCCAGTGGAGCACAGCTCTGCTCTGACACACACGGGGCTGCCGCGAGCTGGAGTCAACTCGACAGCGACGGTTTTTCTGTTTTGGTTTAAAATAGACTCATTTCTTTTCCTGCACCAATTTGCTCTTCTTTCTGTATTCCTCAAATGCTGATCTCCATTCATGTAGCCCTCTCTCTCACTGTGGACATACCTATAGTTATTTTACTTTTAAAATTTTCCTGTAAACTCTGTTTCCAGCGTCACAGCCTTCCCTGCAGTCTTTATCATTTTCGCGCTCAGATTCTGCAGGAGTCTCTCCCTTTTCCAGCCTTGTTAACCTTCACACTGTTTCCTTCCCACTGAATTTCAAAATACAGATCTGATCACGTGGTTCTCCTAGGTAAAAAGGCATCCTCAGGGTGGTAAAAACAAATCAACTTGCACTCCTTGCTAGATGCATGTTGCACAGTAAGGCAGCAATTACATTTCCATTTTTTATTCCATATTATGTTATATTCTAAGCTATGAAGAATAAGAATTTCAGGTACTTGAAATATTTGCTGATTTAAACTCAAATACTGAAAAATACAAAAATCAATTTCTGTATACAAGACCCAGAAATAATGCCACTTAAGCTAATTAGGGGAAACCGTGGTGGTACAGTAGTTAAGAGTCTGGCTGCTAACCAGAAGGTTAGCAGTTCAAATCCACTAGGTGCTCCTTGGAAACCCCATGGGGCAGTTCTACCCTGTTCTATAGGGTCGCCATGAGTCCGACTCGACTTGACAGGGAACGGGTTTGGTTTGGCTTGGTCTGAAGCCGATTAAGAAGTCAGCTTCAAATTGGCTTTTCATGTGGTGTACTGGTGACATCCAGTGGCCAGGAAACATAATTTTTGATGTCAATGTTTTGGCTGTTGACCTACTAACAAACTTTTCATTATTTGAGGTGAGTAAAATGAACGATCTAACCAAGTCTCTATATTTAAATTATGGAGAAGTGTTTAGCATGCACTGGAAAAAAATTCAGAGGTTTTCTTTGGCTTAGGAGGAGTGAAAACAATTTTTTTTTAACAATATTTTATATTCAAGGTCCTCAAGTATCATAAATTTGACCACTTGGGTTCCAATCCTGCTGTTTGCTTCCTAATCGTTTGTGAGTGTTCCTCCCTTGCTTTTTGCCTTGCAACACATACACAGCCAGGATACAGTCTGCATTCATTAGAATCAGTAGCCCCCAACGTAGGCAGAGTTGGAATCAGGGTAATTGTGATTCTTCTCCTTCCTTATCTGTGGGTGAAATATCTGTTGGGCCGGTGGTGGGTTCTTTGAAAAAGGAAACTGGTGAAATCATCCCACAGCATCGCCCAATGCGCTATTTTAAATAAATTTTTAATCAAATGAACTTTTCTGTTTGGAAATCGAATAAAAGAGAAGCAGCAGGACTGTGAGAGCTGATCTTCCCCCTGTGTTCTTAGGTTACATAGATTCTTCCAGCACATAAATAAAAAAATGTCCTTTACATAAGATATACAAGAAAAATATTTATCGTGATTCACATATGCTCACACATACTGCCTACTTTAAAGAAATTGTTCTGTAAAATTACTTTGGGAGTAAACCCTCTGATTATTGCTCTGATTATTTTATTAGTACAGTAAGTATAAAATTACTACTGGATTTTTAGAACAATTGTCTTTGAGTTTTCAAGGCTATGACATATGTATAATAATGAGCACCAGACTATTTCTTTTTCCAAATGTGTTTCAAGCACATTATGGCAAAGTTGCGTATTATCTCATGCATGTAGGTGTTTGTTTAAAAACAAATGCACCAAAAGATGTGTGATTGGAAAACACTCTTACGCAGGAAAAACATTCCCATTTAATTGCAAATATAGCTTTAGAATGTGTTGATGTCAACCTAGCTCTTTCAGTATTTTTGGAAAATAACACTTCATGTTTAAAAATAGCCACTGATATTATTTGATGTTTTAAAACTTCCGGAGAGTAGCAATTTCTTGGGGAGAGTTTGTAATGTTTTGACATTTTCTGCTTGATGCCATATGCTTTGTACTTGCATAAGTGTGATGTGGGGATCTTTGGAAACATACAAAAGTATTTGGATTTACCAGTTTCTGAAGATGCTAACAGATTCTAAAGCACATGGAGGAGACAGACCTCAAAGACATCATACTTCTTAGCTATCTAAATTTGCTCCAGAAAGCAGAGCGTTACTTTTATTTAATGGGTCTTATTTTTGATGTATAACATATTTTTCACTCGAGCATACTGTCTTTGAAATGTATATATTTATATACAAGACCAAAACTAGCAATCAACATTTTAATAATTGAAGTAGCAGTTTGGAGAATTAGACACAATTTCTGGAGAAATTTTAAAAATACATGGATTATACTTACATGGATTGCACTATATAATCTGTAAGCAAAATAGGCTGGTTTATCTCGAACACAGAGAACTGGGAGAAATCAGAGAGAAAAGAAGAAACTTTGAGGGTGACAATGCACATTTTTCTTCAGAATTTGTGAAGCAAACATTTTTCATGTTACAGGTCTGAAATAGTGATTCTCGGAGAGTTCTAGGGATGTGGGATTCCGGACGGTAAACTGGATTGTAATTTCCACACTTAGAATGGTAATGAGATCATAGAAAAAATATAAAACTACAATGTTATAATGATTTATTCAGATTTTCATTGGAAGTTTCCTAGTTCCTTCATATACTCTAGTGAAGAAAAATGTATCCACTGAAGATTAAATAAAGCCAGGAAGAGACCCAGTTTACTACCACAATTATAGATTTTTATCATTGTAGGATTCAATGGGACACAGCCCCACCCAATCCCTTCATCTTCCCTGGCAGGCTTGTGAGGAGATCTGAATATATTTGCAAAGAATTTGTATGGACCATAGGTGCCTTAGACTAGTTTTAGAAGACATCGACTCAATCGCTATGGCATTAAAACAGCCTACTGCCAGGTCTACAGGTACCTTTGATGAATATCAGATGTTAATTGCAGACATTCAACAGTGTTTATGTGAATGCGTAAATTAATGAATTACGTATTCTAGGCAAAATAAAATCATCATACAAGTGTTTTCTCTGTAGCTGAAATAATTATTTCAGGTTGTGAAGCCATGCCTTTATCTTTTCTTTTATTTATAACATAATCACTCTGGACTCCCTGCTACAATGTAAGCTCCTTGAGGGCAGGGACTCTTGTTGTTTCAATGTTTCAATGTCTGCAGTGCCTAAATCAGCCACCAGAATAGCAAGTGCTCCGCAAATGTTGGTGAATGAAGGAATGAATCCGTTAAAGGCTTTCTAGTACTGTTGCTGGTCACTATTTCTGCTCTCACGTCCGCTGCTTGGTTTTTAGCTTTGGTGTTTGGCAGAAAGACAGTTACACTGAGATTCAGATGACATGGGCTTTAGTCATACATTTGTTGCGAATTAACGGACAGACTTGGAAGCAGACATTTAACCTCCTTACATCTTTTTTTGTAAAACGGGGGGCTTTGATACCTGGTTTTAGATTTTGTTGAGAATTTGCTGGACTATACACGCGTTCTTCTCAGAAAATTGCACAGATGCAAATATTCATATTTTGCATGCTATTTTAAGAATTTTACAGAATGCTCGAAAGCATTTTCATGGAACCTCGAGCTTAAAACCCTTTTACTAGATAAACTATAAAGATTCTGTTATCTTTCAGCTCCCACAGTGGATTTATGAATACCTGCCAGTTTTTTCCTCTTAGAGGTAGACACCATTTCTAACTTAGAAGGAGCTGTATCTCTCTCTCGTGATAGCCTGCAGAAATCACTGCTAAGTAAAAACTTTGGAAATCTCTTTTATGGTAGGATTTACTCCTGAAAGCAAGTTTTTTAGCGAGGGGTGGCAAAAAACCCTTTTGCTCTTGGAATGAAGGAAGCCACATTACTGGTATTTAGCTGCTCTTGAACAAGGGAATGGCAGTAGGTAAATATAAAGTAGATTTAAAGGTGTCAGACCCCAATTACCTGAAAAATAGGATCTGAGGATTCAGTGTTTCCTAGCATGAAAGTTGATGCAGCTATTAGGGTAGGGTATTAGCTTATTAAAGGCATCAGATTGCCAGTTTGGTTCTTGTATCAGTAGCTGATAGACCTCTACTCTACACAGTTAGCATTTCATTTACATAATTAAACTCCGGGAAAAATACACTGACCAAGTGCTTAGATATGTACCTTAATTCAGTCAGAGCCTGTTCGGTTTATTGTTGGATCAAAGGTTTGCGGTACACCAGGTAATTTACCACTTACCAATCGCAACTAGCAGTTGCTGAAAGTATCCATCGTAACATTCATTAATGGCGTCCACCATGTCTTGCCCAGAAATGTTTTGAAACTCCTGGAAAACTTCAACAAATCGATGTAATTCAAAGGAGATTTTGTACATATTGTAAATTTAAAATACAAATATTGATTATATTGCTATACACGGTGACAATAAAGTTTTCTTAAATGATGGAAAATATTACTGCTCTCAGTTGTGTTTGATAGAAGAATTACTTGAAATAAATGTAAATACTCTTACTAGAGTCTTCATACAAGTTGTGCATTGACAAGCATTAGAGAGCCTTTGTTGCTCTCCTCTTTTCCGGAACAATTGTCATTTCTAGTGGGACCCACTAACTCACTGCTGATTTAAATCGAGGGGAAGCCCAGGGCCAGCCGTTAGATGTGGGACATTTGTTTAAGACACATTATTAGTCAGACTCTTGTCAACATCAAACTTTCTACTAGAGCTTACATCTGAGAACTAAGTGTGAAAGTCCTCTGAGTGATGATTAAAGTGTGATTATAAAGTATAGGAAGAGTATTCTGAAAAATACGGTGTCACCTTTAGGGTCATAGACTAGAGTTTATTAACTTAGAACTGGGCTACATTAAACTTCCTTATTTCAAGCGCTTACTTATCTGGGCTTCTCCCAAGCAACTTTCAGTTCTCACTTACTGTTTCAGCAAGTTAGAGGCTGGGAGGCTTTTTTTTTTTTTTTAACAGCATTTCATATACAAAGTGTAAGGTGCAAGTTAGGCTGGGGTAGGTCGTCTTTTAAAAGCTTTATAGAACTTTGTATATTTTATATACATAGAAAAAAAGTTTTTTTTTTTTTTAAATGAAAGGGAAAAAGAAAAGTGCATCAGTTTGGGAAAAGTTAAAGTGCAAACTAGTATGACCGTACCTCTAAGACCAATAAGGCAGCATTGCATAAATCGTGACATTAATAATAATTGCTGTGATTTATTGTTATGAATTGAATTGTGTCCACCCAAAAGTTATGTGGAAGGTCTAACCCCTGTGCCTGTAAATATGACCCTGTTTGGAAATAGGGATTTTCTTTTATTAAGTTAATAAGGTCATACCAGGGTAGGGTGGGTCTTAAACCTGGCCCCTTCTGAGTGGTGTCTGAAACAGGGGAGCGCAGGCACAGAGAGACACGCACACACGGGGGGAGGCAGAGGCCATGTGACAATGCAGCTGGGAGCCCAGGAACAGCAAGGATTTCCAGCAGCCATCAGACACTGGGAGGGAGAGCCACAGAAGGAACCAACATGGCTGAGACCCTGATTTAGACTTCAGCCTCCAGAACTGTGAGACAGTAACTTTCTGATCTTTAAAGCCACCCACTTGTGGTATATTTTTTGTTACTGTAGCACTAAATACTGAGACATTCATTATAAACCCTGATCCCAACTCATAGCGACCCTATCGGACAGAGTAGAACTGCCCTGTAGGGTTTCCAAGGAGTGGCTGGTGGATTCGAATGGCTGACCTTTTGGTTAGCAGTCGTAGCTCTTAACCGCTAGGCCAGCAGGGTTCCAAGACACTCATTAGTTAAACTATGGTCACTACACTTTTTCAAGACAACATACAATAAACCAAGTAGGAAATAACTACCAATTTGACTAAATTCTCCTCAAAAAGAGACAGTTTTTTTTAAAAGGTTCAGTATGTGAAGGTTATATAACTTAGTTATTGGAGAAAATAAAATGGTACAGAAAACTGTACTTCTCAATAATGTCATTAAATGAGGCCTGTCTGTATAAATGTAATTCAAAATAAGTTCCTTTGAAATAACTGGCTTTTTTCCCATTTCTGTGTAACATTTCCCTTTGTGTTTTGTTTTAACTATTTGCTTTTTATTATTGTAGAATCAGTTGAGCAGCTGGAAAGCAACCCGATCAGAATTACCCAGCCACAGCTGCTGGTAGCTTTTGTTGCACAGGATCATTTGCAGCAAGGTTTTGTGCTCCCCCGTCCTCTGCTGGCAGGCCTCCCACAGGACCTGAAACATCATAGCAACAAGAAGTAGTATTGGAAGGACCCCTGAGCGGTCTACAAACGTTCTTTACTGTCAGTGTGAGAGCTGGTTCTAGTTACCATTGCATCCTGAGCAGCCAGAGCAGGGTCTGCATATCCTTCCTCTCTGGTTCCCTGTGAAGTAAGCACAGATTCCCCGTCATCAGGGTTCTTAGCGGACAACCATCATGGCGTCCCTGGGACCAAAACCCTGGAACCACCGTAAACACACCAGCAATTCCTGAGAAAGTTCTACCGTTATTTCAAACAAGCTAGTCTCTTATTTCTTGAATACTTTATGAAATATTACATGGGTTTTTTTGTTTGTTTTATTTAGTTTTTCTCGCAGCTGTGATAACCTTTGCAAGATGTTGAGGTGTTTTTCACTTTTCCAGTTCTCTGTGCTGCATCTTTCCTGCTATCAGCATGAGCACCCACTGCCTGACAGCGGGTGATACGGCTGGGATTTAACATTGTTGGGGTGAAAATGCAGAGAGAAAGAATGAGTTAATATTCAGTCTCTGACTTGTAAAATAGGATTTGTGTGGCAAATCCAGACGCTGCGAATTGAGAAGATTTTTTAAATCTCTCCCGGCCATTACCATATAAAGAGTAGACACAACCAAGTTAGCCGTAGAGTTTTACATACAGGATGTCTCCGTCAAACAAGAGAGGGAGGAGGGTTGGCATGCAGGGCCCGCTGGTCCCAGATCATTATGAGGAAAAGAGGAGAGAAAGAGGTAGGGGAAGCAGAGAGGTTAAATAACCTCCTCCTTTAAGTCACGATTTACAGGGACAGGTTTTTTGTTTGTTTTGTTTTTACGTTTGAATACTGAGAGTACAATGACTTCTGCCCTGTCATCTTTTACTCATTGCTGTCGAGTAGGTTTCAACTCATAGAGACCCTATGGCAACCCTGGAAAGAGCCACACCGCAATGAACTCAGCGACGCAGCAAGATTGACAGAGGGAGGACATGAGGACTACTCCTTTGAATTAAGCTCAATCCCTCAATAGCAAGACTGGGACTCAACAGTTCATACCTGCTCCTGAGTGGAGGAACTTGTATTCTAGCTGAGAACCCGGTGGGATAGCTTTCCAGATGGAGTTGTTTGTGACTATGACAGGGACCAGGTGTTCCAGCACTACCAGGTAGACACCTCAGCTAGAACTGTGTGGGAGACACAGCTAGATCTTAGAGGGGGGTTTCAGCCCCGGTGAGAGCAGAGGTGATGCTAAAACATCGTGAAAGTCTACTTGGCTGTAACCAAACTGAGACAGTAAAAGGATTATAAATTAACCAGCTGCATGTTTTGACAAGTAACACTTCAGAAACTCTCATATCCTGGACATCTGTATCTCATGTGTTACATGTCCAGAATTGTCCAGTACTGCCATTCTGTATTCACCAGCTGCTCCTTGGAAACCCTATGGGGTAATTCTATTCTCTTACAGGGTTGCTATGAGTCACAACTGACTCTATAGCAACGGGTTTTTTCAGCCATTTTGTTGCTGAGACCAGCAAAGATGCAGAAAATATCTTGATGATCGGAGGACACTATGACTCTCTTGCTGATGAGAGCTCTTCTAAACCACGCACACACCTGTCCACCAGGTGCCTCCTGGAGAGGAGTGGGAGCCCCAGAAATCTGAGAGATTAGTATTTAAGTCAAAGGAATTGAACATTTACCCACATTGACTATTCAAACTCTTGCATGAATTAAATTTACCGTATTAGATTAAATATTAGTTTTATTTCTCATTAATCAAAAGCCTGAGGCTTATGAGCTAGTTCGGTTCATTTATAGAAATAAATCGGCTACATTTTCCTTATGAGTAAATTTGTAGCCCTGGAAGAGTTAATATTTTGAATCCTAAGTCAGAAGTTGTGTATTATCTAGAATTGTACAAATGAGGGGAGTAGGCATGGGCCTGCCGGACTCCCTTCTGCCTCATCTCCTTTGCTTAAAACACCAGGGGCCTAAGAATGCATGCATGCAATTGATATTTTTAAAATACGTGCATTTATGTAAATATGGGTGTTTTAATGCATGTAGGAGCAAGAAATAGAAGACAAATTTAGAGAGTGAAAGCTACTTTATTGAGTGGTAGGATTACGGGTGCTATTTTAGTTTCAAATCACGAAAGTATTGAGGTACAGGGAACTTGGGGATCCTGCAGTTCCTGGCTTTACATTGGAGATAAAAATAAATGTGCCGTGAGGTGTTAAGTGAATTTTCCAATGTCGTTTCTGTAATTGTTAGAAAAAGATGATGATTACATTCCAGTGTCATTTCAGGCTCTTGAGGTTTGGTTACCATACTCTTCTCTTTGCCTAAAGAACTCATTACTTTTAGACAATCTCCTCTAGTCACTTTTCAAATTCCTTCTTTTTGGTTTTAATCTACACCAAGCAAGACATGAATGCAAACAATTAATGTGTGTATCTTCTGGAGCTAAACGCAATTTATCTAATAAAATAAACTTACGGTGATTCTTCATCTTCTTATTTGATGGAATTGATCACTCTCTACTCCCTGACACACATTCATCATTTGGCTTCTACGGACCAACACTTTTTCTCCCCCTTCTACTTCATTGGTTACTCCTTCTTAATCTCATGGTTTCCCTTTACTTTTCATAAAGTAATCTCAAGATAATGGAAGATCCAGTACTCAATCTTTAGTCCTCTTCTTATCTGTATCTACACTCCTTGTCAATTGCCTAGAATCATGCCCAACACATAGTAGGCATTCAATAAATGCTCACTGAATCAATAAATGAGTGAAGGATAGTGAAACAAATAAATTTTAGACAGCAGAATTCAAAGATCATTAGTGGTAGACATGGAAAGATTTTATGGGTCATTGAAGTTCCCTCAGTGATGTCCCAATCAAAACACATAGCTAAGTAAACATCTACCCTTGCAAAGTTTGTCAGAAATATTTAAGAAGGTTGATATTTTATCATTTTTCTGCATTTTCACAGAGCTGAAATCTTTTTTTTTTTTTTGAAAGATAATATTTTTGGACATTTAACTTGAAACGGTGCCCATATGTTTACCTTCCTAGGAATTAGTTATTAAGAGTGCCTTAAGCAGACTGGTTCACTAAAAAAAAAGGGAATAAGTAAGTTTGTTATTTGGCTTTCTCCACAAAGGCAGAGTGAAGCATATTTTGTCATATAAAGAGCCTAAGACAGCAGTGTGGTGTGTTTAATTGATGTCAGTATCAGAGAAATGGTATAAATGGGTAGAGAACTTGAGTTAGGGGCAAGATAAAAAAGTGAAGGAATGAATTAAAGAGAATTAAAATTTGACTGAAAATAGTTGGAACAGATAAATTCCCTACAGGTGATTACTGAAGGTTGACAGCAATAACATCCTCAGCTCACAAGCCTCACTCTGTTTAAGTTGGAGAAATTGTCATAAAGAAAATTCTGAAAAGCAATTCAATGGGGCAGTTTCTGTTCTTTCTCTCTGTGCAAACACTTAGCATCTCCAGTGTGATTTTCGTATATTGATTAATTAATCTCTAACTTACTAACTTTTTTATTAGTTGACAGACAATTAGCTGTCTGTAAATCCAGCTTAATAAAACCATATGCAGGAAGTGTTGTGAGTCAGTTTAATGATTCACATTCATTTTCAAGAAGAATGTGTTCTGGCTGAGTTGTTTCCTTATTAGAAATAGTCCTATCGGAAAGCACTTTATAGATTAACTAAGACATCATTTTTCTCCAGAAACTATAAAATGATTTTGAATATTTTCCATTTTGTGAATACCTCAAGGCTCCTAGGCTTCAATGCCCCACCCCTTAGTCTCTATTGATTCACACACACAGAGAAAGTGTGACTGAATTTTCATGACGCTAAAAAGACAAAGACATGTGCAGTCTTTACTTCAATTCTGAAAGTGAAGATGCGCCAGGAGGTGAAGGGCATGTTTATAACAACGGGAGAATTGTAGACTGAGTGTTGGGGGGGAATTGGGAGAAGAATGAAGTCACGTCCCTTAATTTATTGATTAAAAACCTGAATCTCAAGATTGTACGACAAATCCAAGGACAAGCAACTGAAATATAACAATACTAAGAAGAAAAGATACATACCTTGTTTTATACAGGACATGATATATATGTAATATATCTATAGGGTGTGTATGTGTGTGTTTGTGTGTATGTGTGTGTGTGATATTTCCTTCTGAAATAAAGAGAGATGGACAGAAAGGATAATAATCCTAGCTAGAGTGTAAGAGAGACTTGATTATACACTCCTGTTAAGAGGCTGGAATTCATCATCAGTAAATTTTGTTTTAATACTTAAGGAAGGAATTCAGTTTCTTTTTGTGTAAAATATCTACACAGATTATCCCTGAAATGGTGTACACAGATAGTAGTCAGGAGAAGTGATGGATGTTTTTTCAATTCCCTAACTCACTTTGCATCTTTTTTCAATTATCCAAATTTACTGATCCAAATCCTAAATCAGGGATTCCAAACTGAAGAACCATTAATGTAGAAGTTGGTAATCAAAGACAAATCTTCAAAAAATTTAAAAACCTAAAAGAAATCATATATTTTGCCAAGCAGTATGAAATACCATGGGACTTCTCATCTTCAAAAAAACGAAAACAAAACAGTTGCCATCAAGTCAATTCTGACTCATAGCAATTCCTTTTGTGTCAGAGTAGAATTGTGCTCCATAGAGTTTACACTGGCTGATTTTTTAGAAGTGGATTACCAGGACTTTCTTCTGAGGCATCTCCAGATGGACTTGAACCTCTAATCTTTCAGTTAGCAACCGGGCAGTGCATTAACAATGTGTACCATCTAGGGACTCCCATCTTCAAATAGATTATTAAGGGAGATTACTAAATATGTCTTTTATGAATCTATTTTCCATTCCAAGTTTAGTAATCTCTATGTATATACATTATATTTGTAAAGTGTGTTTTAAATTTTAAAAAAAATAAACTGTGAAACCCTCCACTGATAAAACAATTGAATTGTTGTATATTATTTTAAAAAGTGTGTATGTCTACACAAATTATTTTATTATATACACAAATATACATACACTCTCACACACATGCCCTATCAATAATAAAAGATTATTGTTTAATTTCAGGAAAAAGG